GGCTGCGTGCCTGGCCCTCCCCGCCGCGCTCCCCGGGCTGCCAGCCTCTTGCCCCACTTTTAAATTGAGGCCACCCGGGCTGAAGGGCCTTGGGCAGCTGTGACAGGCAGTGCCGGTGGTGCCAGGTGCCGGGACATGCCGTACCGTGTCCACAGGCGCCGGACCCCGTCCACAGGCACCCTCCCCAGCCCGTGAAGGCCTTGGCATGCCCGAACCGCTGCGCCTGGTCCTCTGCAGCGAGGGTGGACGGCCTGCAGGCTGCTCCCTGCAGGCTGCCTGCCCCGCTGTCCCTGCAGGCTGCCTGCCCTGCTGTCCGCAGCACAGCCCGATCTGACGCTGACCCCGTGCACAGCTGTGCCTGGGCTTCCTCGGTCATCGCCGCCCAAAGGCGTCACTGCAGCAGCAGAGCTTACTCTGGCAGCCCTGGCACGTGGGGGCTGTTCTCAAAGTTCGGAGTGAGACAGTGCTTTTCTACCTTGGGGAGAGATCCCTGACGCCTGCATGGTACCGAGTGGGTTCCGTGGTAATGGTAATTTGTGCACAAGTATGCTGTGAAAATAAGGTCTCCAGATTTCCCTGTGGGTTCAGGTTATTCCAGTTACTAGTCAGAGACTTCTGCAAGTATGCCAGTAATGTTCAGGGACCTAATCCCAGGAAAGAGATGAAAAATAACCCTGAAAAGTATTAGCTTAGTGTGAACAGTAGATACCTAGGCAATTCCCAGGGAAGTGTACAAACCTGGTGTTTGCAGCAGAGCATGTAACTCCTGTGTTCCTTCCATCCTCTGTGGGGCGAACCCCAAGAAGAGGAGAGAGACTCTGACTCCCTGTGTCTTAGCCCTTCTGCATATCTCCTCTCTCACCATCCTTGTGCTCTTTGGGATTTGAGGAAAGTAAATGTGTGCTTCAGCTCTCCTTGAAAATTATCACCAGGAAGCACTCGGCACAAGAGAAGCATTCCTTTGTATGTGGCACGCTGGTCTGATAACTAAGGCTTTTGCCTTCCATGAGAGTGAGCTTTCTGTTGAAGCCAATGGCTTTGTCTTGTGGGAGCAGAGGTTGGATGGATGCTTCTACAGTGCTTGTTTCGTGTGTTCTCTGCCAACGGTAGTGGTGTTGGGACTGGCTATAGGGCCAGGGCTCTTGCTCCTACCAGCACATCTGCCGTGTGGCAGAACACACCGGTGAAACTGTCTGGTTCCTGAAGGAAGCTGGAGATGCTGATGTCCCTAGGGAGTCCTCCTTGAGTGAGCTCTGCCCGTTGATTTTTTATTTTTTCTCTTGACTGTGGCAAAGGGGTTTGAAAAGAGAGGACACAGGAAACAGCAGCCAGTGCCCCTTTATTTCTGTGACCCGCAAAGTAATGGATGGGGGAGCTCTTGTAAAATCATAGAATCATTTAGGTTAGAAAAGACTTCAAGGTCATCTAGTCCAACTGATGATTCTCCTGTGGTGCATTGGAGTTCATGCATAAAACATGTTTTCCTGGAAGCTAGTTTGCATCCTTGAAATACAAGCCTGAGCTCTTCCTTAACACAGACTCTTTGTGACACAGTTGCTTCCAGTCACTTCAGCTTGGACCATGAGTGCTGGGCAGACTCCCCTTCCCCAGCAGCCTGCTGCTGCAAACGAGAGCTACCAGAGTGTTTGGCTTTGGTTACACTGGGACAGCTTGGGGATTTTGATCTGACCAAGTGTGGCAGCAAATGCTGCCAGGGGCTTAGGTGGGCGAGACAAATGCAGTACAGAGCACATCCTGCTTCAGTAAAATAGTGAGATGCGGGAATGCAAGGGTTTTGCAGATGGCACTGAACACTGCAGTATCTGGGGCCCTACGCAGGTATGCAGGAGCTTACTATCTGTGCTGACAGAGCCTGTACCTCCACGGATGGAGGGCTAAAAGCTTTGAGAGTGAACTGTCCTCTTGTTCTGTTCCTCTTCCAAGAATGTCACAGAGCCAGGAGAGTGCCCTGCTGAGTGCAGGTAGCAACAAGGTTGGAACAACAGACCTGTGAGAGCGGGTCCAGAGGAGGCCCCAGCAATGCTCCGAGGGCTGGAACAGCTCTGCTGGGAGGACAGGCTGGGAGAGCTGGGGGGGCTCAACCTTGAGCAGAGAAGGCTCTGGGGAGAGCTTAGTGCAGCTGCCAGGGCTGAGAGGGGCTGAGGAGAAAGATGGGGACAGACTGTTTAGCAGTGTCTGTAGCGACCGGACAAGGGGTAATGGTTTTCAACTAAAAGAGGGCAGATTCAGACTAGATGGAAGGAAGAAATTTTTCCCAACGAGGGTGGTGAAGCCCTAGTCCAGGTTGCCCAGAGAGGTGGTGGATGCCCCATCCCTGGAAACACCCCAGGTCAGGCTGGACAGGGCTCTGAGCAACCTGCTCTGGGTAAAGATGTCCCTGCTCACTGCAGGGGTGGGACTAGATGGCCTCTGATGGTCCCTTCCAACCCAAACATTCTATGATTCCATGAGGGTGGGGGGGCTCTGCTGCGACTAGCCACGGGGCCGCTGGCATGTGGCTTACACTGCTAAGGGATTTTGTCTTTGCAGAGCTTCCTGAGAGCTGGGCTGACATGCAGGAGCCGCTGCTTGAGGGGATGTGCTTCACACTCAAGTATTTAGGCATGACGCTGGTAGAAAAACCCAAAGGCGAAGACATGGCTGCTGCTGCCATCCGCCGGATCGTTGCCACGGTGAGAGCTGGCCCTGGGGCCCGGCGGTGCCGGGGTGGAGAAGAGCCGATTCAAAGCACAGCCCTTGGACTTTGGGAAGTGTCCATGTCCCAGCCCTGAACCCCAGCGAGGGACCGTGCTGTTCCCAAGAGGAGGGTGGTGTGCGGGAGGCTGGCTGGCCTGTGTGCTGTGAGGGAAGCTCTGTCTTCTTGCAGGACAGCCACCGCTGCCTGCTCCCACACCGGGAATGCAGCTAGGAGCAGAGCTGCGCCTGTCACAGCATAGAGAGGAGGGTGGAGTATCGGGGAGGGTGGGGTCTGTCTTCTCCTGCATGCATGGCAGTAGTGTGAATGGATTCCGGGGTGTTCTATGCAGGGCACGCCCGATCTCCAGGCTCTGCGCAGGAGCCTTTGCAGCAAGGGTCCAAGTGGGTGGCACTCTGTACAGAGTCTGGGGGACTCCTGCCAGTGAGGGGAGGTGAAGACCCTTGCCTGATTTGCAGAGATGTCTGGTGTCTCCCTACTGCCAGGCACGGGTGGGAGCTCGCAAGTTCCAGAAGGTGATTCTGACAGTGTCTCCAAGGGGCATCTCGCTGCAGGATGCAGACACAAAGGAGATGGTTGAGAACATCTCCATCTACAGGTGGGCATGGTGTGTGGGAGGGCCTGAGTGTTCCCCAGCAGCCAGCTGGAGACTGATGGGATCCTGAGCAGCCATGGAGGGCTGGGCCTCCCGTCAGTGGTACCTTCAAGCTTAGGTCACCCTTAGGCCTATGCCCTCTCCCTGCTGTGCCCCACAGCACTGCCTGGGGCTCAATGCAGGCAACATCCTGGGTGGCCTTGAGTTCTGCGTCAGTCCGTCTGTTTTTCCCTGGGCCCTGCTTGTCTCTTCTGGCATTCAAGCAGGATGTCGAGGCTGATGGCTGGAAAGCCCCCCAGCTAGGGCAGGACTGCACGCCTGGCCCTCTCCACTGACACAGGACTGCCCTTCTGGCTGCAATGGGATGAGGGTGCCATGGACCGCAGCTTGCTTGGGCTGGCTAAATAAAGGCAGTTGCTGAGAGAGCTGATGCAAGGTGTTTTTTTTTTACTGCTGCCAGCTGTGCTTTGGCTGGGTTGTGTGTCTCTGGGTGGTGGGTGTGAGAGGAGCATGGCTGCAGGGTGGTGGCTAGATGGGAAGCAGAGACATGACATCTCCTTGGTGCAAAATGTTTGGGTCTTGGCACCAGAGCTGATGTGCCAAGGCAGATCGTCCTACTGCCTGGCATCCAGTTGTGTCATTGGAGGCAATCACCCACCCTTTTGTCTCAGTGCTTGAGTTCATACATGGGGTTGAACTGGGCATCAGAGGACTGAGGAGCACGCTGGGGCAGCGCAGGAGGGCATGCCTGTGGATGCAGTGGTCTCTCACTAGCTGTAGGTACCAGGCAGCCTCTGGCCTTGCTGTGGGGTTAGGCTGCCTGATCATCTGAGGCAGACAAAAGCCTCAGGCTGTCAGCACTGCTTGTTGGTGTGCTGGAAGCACAGCAGAAGACCTGTGCTGGGGGACCCTTATTGCCCTGAGCAGCTCTTCTCTGCCTGCAGGATCTCCTACTGCACAACAGACAAGCTACAGAACAAAGTCTTCGCTTACGTTGCCCAGAGCCAGGAGAGCGGGGCACTGGAGTGCCATGCCTTCCTCTCACCCAAGAAGAAGATTGTAAGCACTTCCCTTCTGCTCTTGGCTCCATGAGGTAAGGGGGGGAGCAAGGCCCTTCCTTCTCCCTTGTCAGAGAAGGCCCTTACCTCTCTGCACCTCAGCAGAGATGGAGCCAGGGAGCGCATGCATGCTCACACACTGCAGAGGCGAGTGAAAGGAGGTTCTTCTGTTCCAGCTCCTCTGGGATCTCCTCTTGGGGATGGCTGGCCCACGCAGGTGGACAGACACAGCATTGAACTGTGGCTTTCTGTGTGTGTGCTCTGCGGGGAGAGGCATCGAGGGAGGCCTGGGTGCTCTCAGATCTTGTGGCAGTGGGGTTGTCCTGGCTTAAGGGCCCAGGGTGGAAGCAGCCATTCTCCCTCTTTCTTGTACACAGGCCCAGGCTGTGACTCTGACTGTGGCCCAGGCCTTCCAGATGGCACTGGATCTCTGGGAAGCAGCACATGCAGGTAGGAGGAATTTCTCAGACATGTTCCTCTGCCTAGCCCTGGGATTGGGGTCTCCAGTGTGGGACCCTGCCTTGGGCTGTGTGAAAGAGAGATGGCTCACTGCATGGCTGGTGAAACATACCAAGCAGGGAGAGTGTTGTCCCTGCTGTTGTGTTCTCTGCCACTGCCCCACTTGGGGAACCTGCCCTGTCTCTGGCTGGCGTGGGGTGCGAGTGTCCCTGCTATCCATGCTGAACTCTTCTGCATTGCTGAGCTGTAGCACAGCTCAGGGCCCTCTGGTACCTGCCCTGAGTGGTGATCCCCCACCCTTGTCTGCACCCTCCCCTAAGCACAGCAGGGGTATCTGTCCCTGTCCCTCACTCACAGTCCTGCCTGTATATCCCCTGCTGGGCCTTCTCCAGGTTGCAGGCACTAACTCTGCTGCTTTTGCCCTGTCCCAGGCTCTAGGCAGGAACAGCCCCTTCACTCTTCATGTGTCTTGGAGAGCAGTGAGCCCAGCAGACCAAGTGAGCCAGCCCCCCCGGGGAGCCCTCCCTTCAGACACCAGTTTGGGGTACAGTATGTGCAAGTCTGGCCCATGCCCAGGGCTCTCACACTAGAGCAGAAAGAGTAACACGCCGCTCCCTCCTCCTGGCCTTCCAAGACCCTGTCGATATCTGCACAGCCTCCCTCGCACATGGTGGCCTGACGTGAAGAGGGGCACTCTGTGCTCTGTCGGGCTCACAGGGCAGGCACAGGTCCTCAGGGGTTTGCTCCAGGAGCTCTCCTGCCAGGCCCAGCATTCCAGCAGCTCTCAGCCCTGCTCTGCTGGCACTGTCAAACAGGGAGCTGGGACCTGCTCTGCATGCTTGGTGCCATGGCTAGGGGTGAGACATTGCCTCTGAAGGAGAGGAGCCTTTGTCTGGCCACCATCGTACCAGCCTGGGCTAAGGCTCGGCCCTGCCCACCTGCACTACACCTACTGCATGTCTAGAGCCCATCGGAGCATTGCCCGTGTCGCTGTGTCCCTGCCCAGGAGCCTCTGGACACTTGCTCCTTGGCCTCATGCTTCCAGCACTGGCCCAGCCTGGCAGGGCTTGGGGTCCTCCTTGCTTATAGCCTGCTCCTGGGTGGTCCTCTGCCTGGCCTTGCGGCTGCCAGATGAGCTCACGCTGCTCCAGTCTCCGGGCCAAGGTGCGCTGTGTGCAGAGCGGCTGGCTCAGCGTGGCAGCTCGTTCCCCGCTCACAGCCTGTGTTTGGTGCTCTGCTGGCTGGAGGGGATGTGAGAAGAGCCACGGTCTGCCTCTCCCCTTGCGCGGCTGTGTGCCTGAGCCCTGAGGATTTCAGCAGCCCAGCTCTGCCGGTGCCGTACATCCCCCCACTGCCTGGAGGCACCCACTGTCTGTGCCATGCCTGCTGGGTGACTGTCTTGTGAAGGGGCTGGGGACTGCCTGGTGCTCCAGTACAGGCTCTGGGCAGCCCACTGGGAGAGACCTGCCCAGGCAGTGAGGTGTCATGGTGGGTTTTTTGTTTGGTTTGTTTGTTTGTTTGCCAGGAGGAGGAAGGGGAGGAGGAAGATGACAACGCTGATGAAACCTTGTCTGGGTAGGTGGTGAGCTGCTGCTTGTGTTGAGAGATCTCTCTGGTGAAACCTGTCTTCTTTCTTTCTCCGTGCCCCATGCAAGGGGAGTTGCTGGCATCATGGGCATGGTGGGAGCATGGAGGAGATCTGCATGGGAGGAAGGGGAAGCTTCTTGCTACTTCCTCTGCCTCTGTCAGCTAAGAAGTCGAGTGAACAGGGAGCTGAGCTGTGGAGGGGCAGATATTGCAGTTCAGCTTTTGCAGCAGAGCTGTGGGGGACAGATGCTGTCCCTCAGGATGTACCCAGAGATGTTACTTGTTCTGTTTCTGCCACTCTTTGCTGAGGCCAGCCTGTCCAGACATGCTTAGAATCACAGAATCGTTTAGGTTGGAAAAGACTTTTAAGGTCATTGAGTCCAACCATAAACCTAACACTGCCAAGTCCACCACTAAACCATGTCCCTACGTGCCACATCTACTCATCCTTTAAATACCTCCAGGCATGGTGACTCAACCACTTCCCTGGGCTTGACCACCCTCTCAGTGAAGAAATTTTTCCCAATATCCAATCTAAACCTCCCCTGGTGCAACTTGAGGCCATTTCCTCTCATCCTATCGCTGGTTCTTTGGGAGAAGAGACCAGCCCCCACCCCACCACAACCCCCTTTCAGGCAGTTGTAGAGAGCGATGAGGGCTCCCCTCAGCCGCCTCTTCTCCAGACTAAACACCCCCAGTTCCCTCAGCCACTCCTCATCACTCTTGTGCTCCAGACCCCTCCCCAGCTCCGCTGCCCTTCTCTGGACACGCTCCAGCACCTCAATGTCTTTCTTTTAGTGACAAGCTTCTCAGTTGGGACTCAGAGTTGTTGCTCTCCTCCCACTGATTTCCCTGGGGCTTGCGCCAGGATGGAGGCCTGGTCATGCTGACTTACGCATGGACTGGGGCCTGGGACTGAGCTTGCTGGTGTCTGTCCTGTGTTTGGGAGCAGCTGATGGTACCAGTCCAGCAGCAGAGGATTAACCCGTAGGTCTTTGCAGAAGTGCCTGCGGTGGTAGGTGCACGGGGCCCATTCTGCTGTGGCCGTTCTCCATGTGCCCGGCAGCTGGCACCTGGCTGGGGTCTGTCAGTGGTGCAGAGCTGAGCCTGAGCTGGTGTCAGCTGGCAACCAGTGCGTGCACAGGCTGGAGCTAGGTATGTGGCCCAGTGAAATGGCAGCCCTTTGTACATGCGGCCTCCTGATGGGAAGAGGAGATGGCTTTGCAGTCTCAGGACAGGCTGGCCTGGGGAAAGGGTTTGGTAGCAAGTGGGCTACCAAACTGCACTACTACTGCACTCCGAGTGCCTCGTACTGCTGTGCCGTGCCTGTGCTGTCAGGGTCATGAGCATGCTGCGTCTCTCAGCAAGCTTTGCTTGGGGGTACGATGGGTGCTCTGTTCTCTTCCAAAGCAGCATGGAGGAGCTGGGGAGGGGAGCCCACAGCCCAGCAGGTAAGTTCTTTCCTTCAGTGCTGGTTTGCCACAGCCCCCAGCATGTCCTCTGTAAGGGGAGGGGGCTGATGGCTCATCTGGGGAGGTCTGCTTCCCCTCCTGGGCCATGCTGGGTTCCCAGCTGCATGCTTCATGGACTGGGTCTTCCTCTCTTTTGCTTTTCAGAGTCAGCACCTCTTGTGCCCAGAGTGAGCTCTCCTACTGCACAGCTACTGTGCTACCGCTTGGGGCAACCCCCAGACAGCTGGAAAGGGCTGGGATGGGTTGGAGACCTCCCCACAGCTGACCCCAGGACTGCTGGCCCCAAGAATCCCCTGGGCTAAGCCAAATCTCTGCAGCAATGGACCAGCCACTCAGGATTCACCCTGTGCCTGCCCCCAGGCCAGCCAGCGCCTGCCCCCAGCACTGCCCAGCAGGCACGGGGTCTGCTGGCACTGCTGCCATGCAGCACACAGACTGCGACACCCGCTCCTCGTCCTGCTCTCTGTCTGCATGAATCGCCTGAAACTGCAGCTGCTCCCCGCTCCCAGCTCGGGCTGGTGGACCGGTGCTCCTCGCTCTGCCCACTCCCAGGGCATGCAGAGCCACCCCACGGGCTGTGAGCCTGTGGGGTGCAGCCAGTGCACTGTCTCTGACCTGCCTTGCTTGCTTCTCCCACCTTGTTCCTCCTGGGGGCAACTGGGGACCGGCTGAGGCTGAGCAGCCCCCTGGAGATGGTGAAGGACTTGGTCAGCATGCGTGACCCTCAGGGAGCAATAGCTCTTGGCCTGGAGCAATGAGCGAGGAAGGCCTTGCCCCTGCAGTTCAGCCCCACGCCCTCTCATGAGTGAAATGAGCTGGTTTTTAAAGGAAAGCTCTGCCTTTATAGGGAAATAAACCAAGTTTTTTACTGTTGTCATCTGTGTGCGAGTGCTGGATGGGGGGCCGTGCACACGTGTGCAAGGCACTGTGTCTCTGCTGCTCTGCCTGCAGTGAGGCTTCCTCGCCTGTGGTGAGGGCCTGGGCTGTGCCCCGAGCTCGTGGAGCCTGCAGCTGCTCTGGGGCTCCCAGGCCTTCCTCGGCTGCTGGTCCTGAGGCAGCCATTGCCCCTGCGCTGAGGGCTGCCAGGGCCTGGGCTGGCCTTTGTTATCTAGCGGGGAGCTGGTCCAGGCTGTGCTGGACTGGTGCATCTTGAGCACCTGTGAACATCATCTGTGCCGATGAGAACTGGCAGCTGACTGTGCTGAGGCCAGGGGGGACACGAGCTACCTGTGTGCCTGCTCTGGGGTGCCTCTGCCCTGCTGCATGCCTGGCTGTGGTCTGGAGCCATGGGTAAGCCATGCACTTGGTTTCCTTCCCCAGACAGCGCATGGGAGGCTGCAGCCAGCAGGACACCGTGTTTCTGCTGGCACGTAACAGTTTGCAGCTGCTTTCTGGCCAAGGACCTTGCTGCTGGGTTCCTGTCACATTGTGGCACATCTCCCCCTGTCCCTTCTGAGGCTGGTGACGCTGGCAGCCCCAGCTGGGCTGGACTCACTGTGTGCAGCCTGGGGCAGCAGAGCTGATCTCCTGGCAAGTGCCTTTTCCCAAGAGGCTTGCACTCCACGGAGGATTGTGTCCCTGCAGGTCAGGCAAGAGCTGTGCACTGTTTTTCGCACTTGTGGTTTTGCATGTTGAGTCCTGGTCTTACGCCTTCCTCCCACAGCTGAGGGCACACAGCAACCTGTAGATGTTATTGGGGTGGTTTGGGTGAGCAGGTCATCGTCAAGTCCTGATCTTCCAGCACTGAGGGATGGCTGACCTGGTGGTGGAGGGGGTTGAACAGCCATCAGTGTGGCTGCCTGCCACACATTGAACCAGGATGCTGGCATCCATGCATCCATACCACAGCCGAGTGCTGCAGGCAGTGCTGAGGGGCCAGAAAAGGCTGCTGCTACTGCTGGCACATGCTGATTGCTTCACTCACGCTTTGCTCTTGGCCTGTGAATGATTGTTCACCATCTCCTGCCGCTGGGGAGGGCAGCGGGCTCTACCCTGCTGCCTGACAGCTATCACCTCTCCAGACAAAAGTACTCCAAGCATTTAGCAGCCTCTCTCTGGGACTCGTGGGGTGTGCTCTTTGCTGTGATTCTGCCGAACACTGCAGCCCTGTAAGGCTTCTTGCACGACTTCATGGGTGCTAGTTCTGCCGTTGTCCTGCCTTTAACCAGCTGTTGCTGCAGTGAGTGAACGGCTTCCCTGCTCCCCCATCTCAGCCTTGTGTGTGCGAGCGCCTTGGCCAAGTCTGTTGTTTTAGTGATGTACAAGCTAGCAATGGTCTCGCCACACCCACGCATGTGCTAACACTGTCCAACATCTCTTAGATTTGTGTGCCAGAAGTGCTCCGCATGAGCCCCACGGCCCCTTCCTTGTGCTGATGCTGCAGGGTGTGTGCGTGTCCTGCCCTGCCTTGGCACCGCCTCACGCGTTTGCACCGTCCTCTGCTGGTGCCTCCAGACTCATTCGCAGGGTGTGTGCTTGTATGTGCCTCACAAAATACCTTTGTCCAACTTGCCCTTCCTCTGCAGCACTCCTCTCTGCAGCTCCCTGCCATCCTGCACTGTCATGGTCTGAGAAAGCAGTGGTGGTTTCGGTTGTTTTTTTGAGGAGTATGTCTTTTTTGCCTCAACATGACACCCTCATTTTATATTTAATGTGACAGACTTTTGGTCTCCTTTTTTATCTGGCCACAACCACTGCATTTTGGCATTTTTTTGGAGCCACTCCCAGGCCCTCAACTCTGCTGGACAGTCATGCTCCTTTGTTTCGTTGTGTGTGCCTCTGGTCTGGTTAAAGAACTCATGATGGTAGGCATGCGTCTGCTCTGACCCTGCAGGATTGCACCTCTAAACATTTTCCAGGGCACCAGAGTTTTTTAAAAACTCTTGTTATTTCCTTGACAGCCCTTATTTTTTTAATGTACCTCTCCAAAAAACAAGTTAGCTGGCAGAACAATGTGGTTTGTCTCTCTAGAGCTATGGCCAGATTACAGTACAGCAGCACTTGGACCCCCCCGTGGTGCATTTGCTGCTCTGGTACCCCTCTCCTCACCCTACCAGGGAGCAGCACAGCCCCCTCCTGCCAGCAGCCTGCTGGGATCTGGCCTCATCCTCCCTCCTGTCCCGGCTGCCAGCGTGTCTTTGCTCTCTGCAGCCAGTTTTGTTTGTGTAGAGAAAGCCATCCTCAGCGGGACAGTCTTTAACTGCAACTTGTCCAGCAGCATAACATGGCCCAGCATTGGCACCAGCACTCCCTCGGCGGCCAGAGAGGTGGGCAAGACAACTGTAGAGGACCTGCAGCTCTTGCACAGCCTGCGAGAACAGGTCTCCTTCCAAGGGCCTTACACGCAAGTTCAAGAAGTCTTGTACATGTACGCGCGCGCGCACACACACACAGAGACTTGCAGCTCCGCAGGGACAATGCTGCCTTTGAGCCAGGATGCTTTTATTGAAAAGACCCTGCCACAGGGAGTTGTTTATCCCGTCCCTTCCCCACCTCGTCCTGCAGTAGGAAATGAGCAGCACCTGGAAGGAAGAGTCCTGAAAGTGCTTTTCTGGGAGGTTTATTCCTGGAAGACGCTGGATCCTGTGATGCTCGAGTCCAGGGCTGCAGAGCCAGCACCCCAGCTCATTGACGGGCCGCAGAGCAGAGCACGGAGGGAGAGCAGCAGCCAGGGCACCAGCCTCTGCAGCAGAGAGCCTCCTCGGATCACCCCCCTCCCTCCTACCGCAGCAAGAGGGCATGCCTGGGCCTGGCCTCGGCTGGGCCACAGCGCAGTGCGGGTAGCCAGCGACAGACTGGTGCCTGCAGACGCCGGGGAGCAAACAAGCACAGGCTGGACATCACCTCTTCACCAGCCTCATGTCATCCTCACACGAGCAGGCAGACGGGGCAGTTAACAGCAAGCCAGCGGTCCACCAGCTCTGGGTGTTCAGGGCCCTTTCCAACGGGTCTGTGGCACATCAGCCAACCTGGTGCAGGCCACGCTCCAGGGGCGGGAGCATCAGTAGTGACCATATCCCCACAAGACTGAAGGAGCCAGGAGCGGGATGCGACGCTGTTGAAGCCAGGGTCGTCCCCAGAGCAGTGATGAGCTCTTCAGCACACACCCTGCCGCGGCTGCGGAGACCCTGCTCGGCCTCACCACATCACCTCCTCCAGGCAGCACCGGTGCCACGCTGCCCACAGGCTGCCCGGCAGCAACCCTGCACACAGCTTGAATGCGTCAGGACAGAGCCCTACCAGGGAAACGGCAAAGCCGCAGCCATGCCCCGGCACTGCCTGCTCCCATAGCTCTGTGAGGCCCACCCCACAGAACGGCTCCTACTGGCACCCTCCGCCCTGGCGGCACACCGCAGGCCGGCCAGGCG